AATAATAATAATAATAATAATAATAATAATAATAATAATAATAATAATAATAATAATAATAATAATAATAATAATAATAATAATAATAATAATAATAATAATAATAATAATAATAATAATAATAATAATAATAATAATAATAATAATAATAATAATAATAATAATAATAATAATAATAATAATAATAATAATAATAATAATAATAATAATAATAATAATAATAATAATAATAATAATAATAATAATAATAATAATAATAATAATAATAATAATAATAATAATAATAATAATAATAATAATAATAATAATAATAATAATAATAATAATAATAATAATAATAATAATAATAATAATAATAATAATAATAATAATAATAATAATAATAATAATAATAATAATAATAATAATAATAATAATAATAAATAATAATAATAATAATAATAATAATAATAATAATAATAATAATAATAATAATAATAATAATAATAATAATAATAATAATAATAATAATAATAATAATAATAATAATAATAATAATAATAATAATAATAATAATAATAATAATAATAATAATAATAATAATAATAATAATAATAATAATAATAATAATAATAATAATAATAATAATAATAATAATAATAATAATAATAATAATAATAATAATAATAATAATAATAATAATAATAATAATAATAATAATAATAATAATAATAATAATAATAATAATAATAATAATAATAATAATAATAATAATAATAATAATAATAATAATAATAATAATAATAATAATAATAATAATAATAATAATAATAATAATAATAATAATAATAATAATAATAATAATAATAATAATAATAATAATAATAATAATAATAATAATAATAATAATAATAATAATAATAATAATAATAATAATAATAATAATAATAATAATAATAATATAATAATAATAATAATAATAATAATAATAATAATAATAATAATAATAATAATAATAATAATAATAATAATAATAATAATAATAATAATAATAATAATAATAATAATAATAATAATAATAATAATAATAATAATAATAATAATAATAATAATAATAATAATAATAATAATAATAATAATAATAATAATAATAATAATAATAATAATAATAATAATAATAATAATAATAATAATAATAATAATAATAATAATAATAATAATAATAATAATAATAATAATAATAATAATAATAATAATAATAATAATAATAATAATAATAATAATAATAATAATAATAATAATAATAATAATAATAATAATAATAATAATAATAATAATAATAATAATAATAATAATAATAATAATAATAATAATAATAATAATAATAATAATAATAATAATAATAATAATAATAATAATAATAATAATAATAATAATAATAATAATAATAATAATAATAATAATAATAATAATAATAATAATAATAATAATAATAATAATAATAATAATAATAATAATAATAATAATAATAATAATAATAATAATAATAATAATAATAATAATAATAATAATAATAATAATAATAATAATAATAATAATAATAATAATAATAATAATAATAATAATAATAATAATAATAATAATAATAATAATAATAATAATAATAATAATAATAATAATAATAATAATAATAATAATAATAATAATAATAATAATAATAATAATAATAATAATAATAATAATAATAATAATAATAATAATAATAATAATAATAATAATAATAATAATAATAATAATAATAATAATAATAATAATAATAATAATAATAATAATAATAATAATAATAATAATAATAATAATAATAATAATAATAATAATAATAATAATAATAATAATAATAATAATAATAATAATAATAATAATAATAATAATAATAATAATAATAATAATAATAATAATAATAATAATAATAATAATAATAATAATAATAATAATAATAATAATAATAATAATAATAATAATAATAATAATAATAATAATAATAATAATAATAATAATAATAATAATAATAATAATAATAATAATAATAATAATAATAATAATAATAATAATAATAATAATAATAATAATAATAATAATAATAATAATAATTAATAATAATAATAATAATAATAATAATAATAATAATAATAATAATAATAATAATAATAATAATAATAATAATAATAATAATAATAATAATAATAATAATAATAATAATAATAATAATAATAATAATAATAATAATAATAATAATAATAATAATAATAATAATAATAATAATAATAATAATAATAATAATAATAATAATAATAATAATAATAATAATAATAATAATAATAATAATAATAATATTAATAATAATAATAATAATAATAATAATAATAATAATAATAATAATAATAATAATAATAATAATAATAATAATAATAATAATAATAATAATAATAATAATAATAATAATAATAATAATAATAATAATAATAATAATAATAATAATAATAATAATAATAATAATAATAATAATAATAATAATAATAATAATAATAATAATAATAATAATAATAATAATAATAATAATAATAATAATAATAATAATAATAATAATAATAATAATAATAATAATAATAATAATAATAATAATAATAATAATAATAATAATAATAATAAATCGTCTTTATTCACCATAACAAAAAACAAAGAAAGAATAAATTTTTTTTTTTTTTTTTTTTACCTAAAATTGGTCAAGCCGTAACGAGTAATTGGTCAAAGTGTAACGAGCGGGGATGCTGATGTTAACACGACCAAAAGCACTTCTTAAATCACCTAAACACCAGCTATCGCATTGATTGAACAACCCAAGCCATACCGGCAGAAGGATGCCTGAAAGGGTTAAAAAAATAGCTCTGAAAATACTTACAAAAAAGTGCAAGACATTAGTAATGCCAAGATTTTCTAAAACTTTGCAAATCAGATGCTAGACCTGTTGAATTTCACCATTATTGTCACAATCTACCTGTATCCAATAATGTTAGAGACATTGTACCTGAACCTTCCATTGAATATAGTAACTCAGACCTTGAATATTATGACCTGTATGTAGACAGCTAAAATAAGCAAAGTGAAGAGTGCTAAATTTAAATTTTTCAGTATTTTCGTTTTCAATGAATATCTATAGAAAAATGTTTCGAGGTAGATGTATGTGGAAAATGGATATATTTAGTTTATCCTCTAAATATTTATAGAGGTGCTGCAATAGGTTGTACAAAATAACCGGAAAAAGCCTATAATAACTAGATAGGAAAGTCATGTGTTGGACACATCAGATTATTTGTTACAAATTGACAAATTCTTAGTTTATACTTTGTGAGACTAGTTGTTTTGAAAACCTTTTTTATTGGAGTTATTGTTTATTAACACTTTGGCCCCTGAGCAAATATTTCATATCTTTTACTACAAACTGAGCTACTTTTTTGTAGCTTTTTCCAATAAACTGTACGTACCAATAAGTGGTACACAATTAGTTTTTACTCACAAACTGTGTGTCTCTATATGGGCACGAAACATGCATTGATTATATCTGGTGTGTACACTATACAAACACAACTACATGAAGTTTTAAAATGCTTATAACGGTTGGTTTAGGTTATGAATAAATTCTGACGTAACAGTTTCGCACGTCGTCAATAGATAGAGAAACTTTAGGTACTATTATGAACACAAATCGTAAACAAAATTTTTGAAAAAATCCACACTCGTCAAATGCAGACAAATAAGGCAAGAGAACCTCAAAGAAACCATAAAATTACTGAAGAAAACAACAGAGAAAGATGCACTAAGTGGTACAAAACACTTAGCGAAAGAAATGGAAGATAATAATGAAGTATTCCAAGAGAGTAAATACATCATGCCAGGCATGTAGTAAGAAGTTCTTACGCAATAACTGTTTTTTTCTGTTACACACAATTGGTATATGTAGTTTTTAGACTTTGTAAAAAACCGTGTGTACCATTTTATTTGACACAACATTTTGAACATATTGTTTGCAAAATTTTACATTTTTATAATATAGTACGGTTTGTAACTATTCAAAAAAACAAATTTACCAAAAAAAAAGCCGCAGTTTCTGTCAATAATTTTTAAAATATCTGCCAGGTTTTGATAAATAATATTTTGTGACCATATATTGTACACGCAGTTCATGGTAACAACTTGCTGTGTACCACTTCTGGTTAAATCAGTTTGAAGCTTTTACTGATTTTTTATTAAATTTTTACCTTTTGAACAGCGTTTTCTCAAAACTTTAAAAATGCGAGTTATCTTGGTTTTGCAGTAACCCTATTCCTTTGCACACTTATCAAGGACCGATGACAATGCAATAATTTAAATAGTTTGTCCCATTATCCTGATCAGGATTAGTAATTTTCCAAATCCGACACCGTATATTATCCCTGTGGTAACTTTTTATCAAATTTTATTCAAAGTTAGGGGTTGAGGGGAAGTGGGTGCACTTTTTACCATCCCTTTGAATCTTCTATTCATCCATGTACTTATTATTATGGTTAGTTCCAATAAAAACCCAGCTCAAATTCTCTTTAGATGCAGTTAGTCAGTTATCCCTGTGGTAACTGTTTTAGAAATATTTATTAAACCATTCCGACGATATTACAGAGGTTGTATAAAATTGGGATATCGGCAAAATAGTCCAATATTAAGGTGAATTTCAGCGAAATCGTAAGAATTTTAGGTGATTCCCGAAATACAGGCTTCCGAAATAAGTACAATTTTAGTAATATATAGTGATGACATTCATCCTAGTGTACTTTGGACCATCAGTTAGGTCACTTCATTTTGTTTTGTATCTATCGATCGGTCTTTTGCCCATATTTTTCACTTGTTTAAAAGTAAAGTTTATTGAAATATAGTTTACATATACATATATTTGGTCCTTTCAGCTGGATTCTTGATCTAGTTTAATTTTTCCGTTTTTCTTTTAATTGTGAGCAGCTGTAATTAAGAAGTTTTGAAGAATTGATGTGACCAAAACTTGTAAGCCATTTAGGTAGTTTGCTTAATTTTTCTTGAGTTTTGATTTTTATATAATCCTTATTTTTGAATGTTTTATTTTGATTAATTTAAAATACTTAACAAATTATTGCATTATAATGAACTGTTTTCTCAAGGTAGCAAAATAAGTAAGTCACATAAGCGTCAATAACGTATGGTACTAATGCTAGATGAAGTAAGTACAGAGGATTAAAGTATTTTTAACAAAATCATATCTTTTTGGGTGAATATTAATCAAATATGCCCAGAAATGGGTATAATCGTATCAATAAAATAAAGAATGCACCTTTCTTATGACATTTTTTTTTGATCCAATTCATTAAATGTGTTGACTGATTTCCTAATTTTAGTATAAATTCACTCAGAACCCACGAAACACCCTAAAAAAAATAAACTTGTCTTAAAAATAAAACTGTAAAAACATAATTAAAATATACCAAAACATTTGTCTTGCCAACATGGAGTCGTAAATTAAAAATTAATTAATTAATTAATTAATTAATTAAAAATATTGCAAGCTTACTTAAAGACCACTTTAAAGTATCTTTCAAAACCCCCTCCTCATTACATAAGTTATTCGTTCATAATAAAGATAAATTAGATCCCTTTGACTTGTCTGGAATTTATAAATTGACTTGTAAATCTTGCCATTCTTTCTATGTGGGACGCACATTTCGAAATTTCAAGATCCGTTTAAAAGAACATTAACCAAAATACAACAGGATTTTCACATTTTGCCAACCACCTACTGGACTCAAATCACGACTTCGATTCAACTGAAGGTTTCGAAATCCTACATAGTTCCTACCATAGATTTACTCTTAATAGCTTCGAAAGCCTCGAGATATTGAGAAATTTAAAATTAAATCCTGTTGGTTGCTTAAATGCCCAGATAATGTCAGAAACTCCTCCAGTTTTCTCAACACTAATCTAAATTTATCGTTCTAACTTCCTTTTTAACCTCCCCCTTTATTTCTATTCACATATTTCCTTGCAAGGGGTACATTTCAGTAAGTAATTTCTTCCCACAAAAAACCAACGTGCATGTTTAAGGACTAGGTTAAGTTGTGTGTTTTCACATCTGTCATTTTCTTCTTTTCTTCTTCTTTTATTTTTCAGTTGCTTCACAACAGTTAACCCAGTCATTTTTTCTTCTTTCTTATTTTATCCTACAACATCACATACACTTGGTGATTGGTTCATGGCCCAAATCTTATATATTATATAATAAATAATAAATATTTCTTCACTCATAGTTTACATCTTATTACCTATACCCTGTCATAAGTTTATCCAAGAATTTTTCGTTAGTACTTACCACCACCTGTAGAGGCCTTAACTTGACAGGTCTCCTTTCAAAAATGTTAGATTTTTATAAAAAACAGCAATGTTGCTTAAAATAGGCCTTATCTTTTAATCTGTTTAATGTATGTGATTTATTTTTGTATAGTCTTGAATATTTTTAAAATTTTTAACTGTTTATATCGACTAATATTTGTTTTTCAAATATTTTTAACTTTTTATAACTTGTAACATTGTTTTGTTTTACAATTTATTTCATCCCCCACGTTTTGATGAAACTTGTCTGTAGTATTCCCTAGTGGATGGAGAGTATGGTGAGTTTTTCTATTTTTTACTATTTTATATATTGTGGGCTCAAAGTCAACACACCTTACACCACATATTCTCCTTTCCACTAGGCGAGCCTGAAGATGAAGTGATGATACTTCGAAACCGGTCGCACTCAATGTTTTGTTGAATAATTAAACATTGACTTTCCTTGTGAGATATAAAGGACTTTTTCTCCCCCCTTCACCTTAAAAAATTGATATTATTTACCGATTCTACACAAAAATGACTCATTTTAATGTATATTTAATCATAACTACTAAAAAAATATACTGACAATTAGTTTGACAGAATTGTCACTTATAAATTTTTTTTTAAATAATAATAATAATAGTTGGGTGTTTAAATTATGAACTGTGATTGGTGGACCATTTTTTTGCAGTGTTTTCACTACCTAGAATAGATATGAAATATATTCGTTCAGTTGAACGAAATAGCATACTTTTTGTTTTGTAGTCTGTGCGTAGATAAGCTAATGTTCATGTGGGTGTAGAAAAAATATATTCTTATTTTATAATATATCATTATGGTTCGTAATTTCCTGCCGACCTACACCAGACATTTAATCATTTTTTTTTAGTAAGACTAAAAACAACAATCTCGGTTTGTTTTTCAAACCGTATTATTAAGAACAAAACAAAGGCAAGTTTCTTGAAAAGATATGCCATCTTGAAAGACAGGCGTAAGCAAAATGCTCTTTCTGCCTCGTCTGAAAAACTATAGCTGGGTCAAATAACAATGAGATTTGATTAAACGGCTGCCTCCGTAGCAGTTACTTCTTATTATTATGACTAAAAGTTCTTTAGGATGCTGCATACTTTATCATTATACTTATTCAACGTGCATTGAATGAATAGTACAGTCAATTTTGGATTAATATTGAAGAAGATTAAATTTGTATACCCGAACAGAAACATTTAAGGAAACAAACATTATTATTAATATTATTACTATATTTTCGGGCTTTGTTACGCAACTCTAGAAGCAGCTCTCTTAACTACATCCCGTTGACTTTCTGGACACCCAAGGATTCATAGTGGGCGGAGACTTTAATGCAAAACATACTCACTGGGGATCTAGACTGACATCTCATAGATTTTTTTATAATCAAGAATATCGCCTCAATTTATATGCATATACAAGAATCATGGGACATAAACTCAGATCATTCTCCCATACTTCTCACATTGAGTGATACTGTAATCAAAAAAGAAAATTTACCTCAACTAGTCAACAAGGCACAGACTGGAAAAGCTTAAAAATCAACCTAGAATAACTAATTTATCTCTCGATTCCATTAAGAACTAAGGAATAATTAGACCAAAAAGTTGAACTTTTTGTCAAAAAATGGCAACAGTCTAGAGCACCAGATGGTACAACATAACAACTAAAACATGAAATACGGCTCATTAAAAATAAATCGATTGACAAATACTTAAGTGTATTTACTAACGATAAAAGTACCGATTATTCACTCTGGAGAGCTACCAATCGATTAAAAAGGCCTACTGTACATAATCCACCAATCAGAAATAGATATGGAAGCTGGGCCCAAATCAGATTTGCGGAACATTGTGACAGTACCTTGAACCCAATGATGGTGAAGATCTTCAAGACTGGATGAAATTAGCACAAGAACACACAGTCGTTAAACCTACCTCTCTAAAAGAAGTTTGTATGGATATCCAATCAAATATAAACCCGAAAAATGTTCCAAGTTGTTGGCGTTTCCAGAATAAAGTATTAAGGAACATCGTCAATGCATCCAAATAATGCCGCAATACTGATCTTCATAGGGACCGTAAAGTGGAGACTGTTTAAGATACAATAGAAAAATTTGACAGTAGTCATCGACTGCTCCAACATGGAACGTTGAGGTTATCTAGCTTCTCAACAATGCCAATCTAGTAAGAAGACTTAAGAAAACCAAGCCTTTTGAGTTAGTTGAGTGATGTTAGATAAAAGCAAGTGGGGTTTAGAGTTATACATTAACGGTAGTGTAACTAAATTAGACTCTCAGTAAGTAGAATCTTAGTTTATGAAGTTTTTCATCCCTAGATAAGTTAGGTTCTAATAAAGTTGCTAATTGATCTTAATGATCAGTTTGTAATAATCGTAAATGCTTCTTTACTTGGGGTATTTATTAAAAAAAACTACATTACTCCAATGGTTAGTGAGAAATCACGTACGCTTTCTCTTCTTTTTCTTCTCTTTCTTCTTTTTTCTGTTTTTTTCTTCTTGTTTTTCCAGGCATTTCTATACCTTACCGATTATTTTCATTTCGTCTAGTCTCTTTTCTTCTTCTGTTCAGCTATCTCTTTAATTTGGTCTATCGATTTTCTTCTTATTCTTTATCTTTGTTTCTTATCTGGTTTTCCTTAATCTGAAATTGTTCTTGTTATTATTTATTTATTTAATTAATATACACTACTCTTCAGTTTTTCCATTTACAGAGTGAGAAAGATTCAGTATTTATTTATTATTCTAACAACATATATTCTAACAAATATAGGAAACAAGTGTAAAATGACTAGAAAATATTAAAACAGTAGAAGAATTTAAAAAATACATTATATCACTATTACCAATTACAATTAAGTCAAAAAAAAGGCGTGACCACATACATATAGAACATAGAACATAGTATATAAAGTATTTAAGAGACTTTTTATAATTTTAGAAGATACTATTTTTTGATAACATTTATGGAACACTTAATGAAATATGTGTTATATGTGTTAGTATCTTGCAAAGCATTGTAATTATTACACATGAAATGAAAAAAGGAATATTTTAAAACATTGGTCTTGAGTGTTTTATACTCTAATTTTTGCGTTGTTATTAATAAGCACATTAAAGAACAAAAGGTCTGAAAACGTATCCTTGAGGTACTCCAGATGTGATATCTGTAACCGACGATTTAACATCTTTGTGTTCAACATAGAATTTCCGGTGTTCTAAATTGATTGAAAAATAAGAGTAGGCCAAAACATAAAATGTTAAGATAAAGACCAAATATAGCATAGTAAAATTGCCTTTCCATCAAGTTGTTGTTTAAAACGTAAAAATTTTAAAAAGTCTTTAACATTCTGAGTGGGTTATTAAACGGACATTTTTTAGGTTTACTTTGTAAATTTTAACTTATTATCTCTCACACTACTCATAATTTTATATAATGAAAAAAAATTAAATGTCTAATTCAAGTCCAATACAGTAAATTGATTAATTCTATTATACAGAACGCCCTTGAAGCTGTTGTGAAAAAGGGACCTATGCATCTATTTTCTATCTATTACACTCTCTGGATGTTAGTTCCCAGGACGAAATATGTTTTGAGTTTACAATGATTACAA